ATATAAAAATCATAAATTATATAATTCACAATAGTAATATAATACATTACAATACGTATGTTATATAGAGAGTGAATTGTATGCATTTTGAATAAGCATTTTAGCATAAGAAATATTACAACATTAATAATAATATTTAAATTGCATCTTAAAAAATAAAGATTAGACATTATATATTATTAGTGAAGAATAAGTCTTTTTTGTCACGTAAACTCTCATTTCACAGCCCGAGGTGCCACCCTCTTACACGATGCCCCGCCATGCCCTGATCCTTACGGAATTCATGCTTACGCTCACCCTGAAGACTGCGGGGCCTTCTTCTTGTGCACGAACGGCACGCTGACCTTCGAATACTGCGAGAATGGACTTCTGTTTGACGGACACGGTGCCATCCATAATCATTGCAATTATAATTGGGCTGTCGATTGCGGTCATCGCAAGGCTGACTGTAAGTACATTGCATTCGTGATATTCGAATCACTTGTCACTTTTATTATTACCCCAACAATTTTTACAATCTTTACCTATCTCGTTAAAAAAAAATATTGAATATTTGGCATAAATGTTATGTAAAAATATACTATATATTATTGGGTTGTTCAGAAAGTTCGTGCCGATTTTGAAAGAAAATTGAAACGCAGAAGATTTAAATTTTACATTTATTAAATTATACATTTATTAAATTATATAGGTTAGTCGGCACGAACTTTCCGGACAATCCAATACATATATATATGAGTATAATATAGAAATGGCATAAAATAAAATATGTTGCAATTGAATAAATTAATATTCAGTTTGACGTATTATTGTATTATATAAATATTATTATATATATATTATTATATATTATTATATATATATTATATTTATGTTATTCAATATCATTGTTCTTTTCATAAAAAATTATGTATTCATATATTTTATATGAAAATAAAAATCAGTCAATTAGAAAGAAACATGCCAGGAAAGTAAAAGTCATACGAAACAAGTGATTTTGGCGGCATTTTTAGTGGGTCACGTTAACGTCAATCATTATGATTTCGCTTTCAAGTGAATCTCTTTTGATCACTTATCTCAACTGGCTTAATCTCGATGCAATCGCGTGACTTTCCAGTTTTCAGTCTTGTTTTTCATATTTTATTGCGCCAAAAAAGTTGATGCTAATAAAAACCCGTAACAGCAGATCAATACATTCTCTACTATACATGCAGGAAAAAAAATCATAATATAATGGTTAATTGAACATATATTTTTTCGGCTATAGAATTTAGAATTATCTATTTTTGCAATATTTTTGCAATATTACAAAAAAAAATTTTAAATAAGAAATCTCTTTCTTTTGTTGAATAACGCATTTAGTTTATTTTCAAATCACCTCACAAACTCTCAATATAATTAAAATTACATTCCGTTATTCATCGCGAGTACTGAAAATCTATACTATAAATTTTTAGTATTTGCAATTAATAATGGAACGCTGCTTAAGGAACGTTTTCCTCTTTACAGATACACCGATTAGTAGTCCAGGCTGCGAGTATCAATTCGGTATATATCCGGAGAGCGATAGTTGCAGCACCACTTACATCAAATGTGTCCACGGTGATCCGCTTCAGGCTCACTGCGACCCTGGTCTAGTCTACAATGCGAAGACCCATACGTGCGTCTGGCCGGATGAACTCATCCCCTTCTGCAATCCCGAAGCTATAGTAGGATTCAAGTGCCCGCACAAGCTGCCCCCCAACAGTCCCGCTGCCAAGTTCTGGCCCTATCCGAGGTAATGTATGTGCTACGTGATTATATACGAGATGCGCGTACTTTCGAGAAATCATTCGTAATGAGAAAATCCGCGCGAAAATAAAACTGGCGGTCAATGCACTCCAGGCAGACGACATTTTTAATTCACACACTTTCTTTCTTTCTTCGCTTCTTGGAAGATTATAAGAATTTAATTCCTTAACCTCTTGGGAACAAGCACTTTATCAATGTTATTCTTTTTTTCAATATCGATTAATAATTTGTTTAATAATTAATAATTTAATTATTTTAATTGCTATAAACTTGTAATAATTTCTATGATATACAAAAAAGTTTCTTTTTTCTATTTAAAAAAATCAATTAATTTCATCATATTATATATCTAATTTAAATATTTCCCGAAAAATTACTTAACCTGGTGACTTATTATTATATATTCGAGATTTACGATAGCTCAATATCTCTTATTATGTTCTATTCCAAATAATCATAATCAAAATCTAGATTTGCATAAATCTGATCATATCAGATTCTTATATGATTCATGCACTCTGTAAATTTCTGGTTGCAATCATGTTGCAAATTATGTGTATAATTATTTTACTGCCGCAAGGTATAATAAAATTTTTTATCTTTCTTCCTTTTCCTATTCTTTTTTTTTATTACGAGGAAGAATTACTAAAAAAAAATATTGTTCGCCATCGAAGATCGTGAGAGTAAAAGAAGTCGTTAAATGTCAGACATTTATGCGTAGTACTTCAATTTAAAAACCGGTCGTCGAAAAAATTAAGAGATCGCGCGTGTTTTATTCAAATATTTAATTTTTTGTCATGTTAATAAACATTTATTTTTTCCTCTTGAATTATGCAAAAAATAAAAATAGAAAAATTTACAAAGAAATTACTTGCGCGACTTTTTGCGCTTTATCTCCGTACCTTGATATTAAATATTATAACGTTTTATGAACGTGATATTGTATCAAATTTGCTTTTCATTTTAATAAAATGAATTGCAATATTCATAAAACGTGGTATTTAACGATGTCAAGACACGAAAATAATCTAAACATCGCGTAGCTTCTTTGAATTGCAATAACTTGCAATTATTAAATTGTTTCTTGGTCACGGAATAATAGATATTTCACTGTAAATTTTTAAAGAGAACAATTTTTATTAAATACTGATATTAAATTATAATTTAAGATTTTTATATTTCTATACGTAAACCAAAAATTTATAAATGGTATGATTTTTAGATTCCCCGTACCGAGTGACTGCGGTAGGTTGATCACCTGTGTTGATGGACATCCGCGACTTCTCACTTGCGGAGACGGAAAACTATTCGACTCTGTGAGCCTGACTTGTCTGGACCCGGACGAAGTTCCTCACTGGTTTGTACACTTTACGTTTTAAAAACTTCAAATCAGGTACATTTGTTTGACTTGAAAAAAACAAAAAAATATCTAATCTGAATATCATCGATAAAAATTTTCGAAATCGAAGTATTAACTCAATTAATGCAGAATATAAGATCAAATATTTTAATTTTCTAACTATATATTTATGTGTCTTTTTCAGCTCAAATGGTATTTAAAATGGAGGCACAACTCCTGACAATCATCCGCAATTTTAAATCAATGAATTTGGCAAAGAGATATAATGATATTAATTAGAAATTTACAAAAAATTAAAAAAAATGTGTATAGCTGTAAAAAATCGAATTATCACAGGACAATATTAATTTTAGAAATTGTTTAAATTTAAAGGAAAATATCAATTATAAAAATTAAAAGAATTACGAACATAAATTACAACATGTTAATAATACAAATGTTTTTATACAGGAAATAATTAGAAGGAATTAATTAATAAGAAAAAAATTATAAAACATGTACATTCCTATTAAATTTCATTTTGATTCGGCGTTGCCAATAGACGAAGATTCAAGATATCAGACGTAAATTATTATTAATAATAGACGTTTAAAGGGGACCAATTGTATGTACAGTGCGTGAAGAGCAAGTACGATATGTAGTACATATAGTATATTTATATGTAATACATTTAATGTATTTATGATAAATATAATAACAATGTACAGCCAGGCAACATTGAATAAAATCTGGACATGCGTATAAAAAATATACAACGTACAGTTTATTTCAATTGATCTACATATACGTGGTACGAGCCTTATTGTTACGAGAGCACGGGATGGGGAAGGAAAAAGGGGTGACAGGAACGGGGAAAATACAATATTTACATCTCGACTGATGCGAATGGTGAACGGTCCAAGAAAAAACCGAAAAAAACGAGATGTTCAACATTTTATCAGTTAATAATACGAACCTCCATTGAAAAGGAAGAAGAGCTCGATCGGTCAAAGATATGGACGGATCGATGGATGTCTCGGTCCTTGAAAATAGTTCCTCATTTTTATTTTAAACTTCTGTTTCATTAAAAACAATCCTACATTTATATATATTTTATCAAATTAATTTATTTCGATATTACTTTTCTTTTGCAATTTCTGTTTTCTTTGATATTTTTAAGAGATTGTCTGAAATTTTTTAAATTAATCTTTATAACATGCTTAGTTAATTTTATTCCAGTCTTTCTAAATTTATAAAAATATTCAAGTGTCATTTAGAATTTTTATCTTTCTTAAGATTAGAAAGTTTTATTCAATTTTTCATTATCTTAGATCATAAATTAATTCATTTAATTGATAAACTTTTCATTTCTTATTACCTGAATTAATTAAAATAAATTGTTGCTCATTAATTGGGATGAACCGGACCGTGTAATTATAGGCAGTTGCCACTCTCACTTTTACTCAAATTTGAATTTTACATATAAAATAGCGTATCTGAAAATCAAATTCTTGTGATGAAGATAAAATAAAGATTTTATCTACGAGAAAGAACGGAACTTTTCTTTGAGGAATCGCGGGACTTCAATTTCTCTGACATGCAGGATAATTTCGAGACATTAAAAAAGATCTAAGAATTAAAAAAATCTCAAAAATGTAATCCTATGAAAATTCTAAAATTATAAAATTGCGGAACTGCAAAATCACGCGAGAATCTGAGACTTGACAAGAGAACTTCTCAAGCTCTCCGCATTGATCGACGATCTCTGGGATCTCACTCGTCGAAAAGGGTCTCCTGGTGCTTCCTTCGTCCTTCCAGATCGAACAGGACGCTTGCTACGACTTTAGTTTCTGGGACGCGCCCGTAAAGGAATCGGCAGGGCACCCGATGGCAGAGGTGGCACGCCAGGCGGCAGATTCTCCTCCTCAGGTTCCTGCTCGTTGCGTCCATCGGGCAACTCGCCCTCGGTGGGCGGCGGTGTCGTGGGAACATCGCAGTCCTCCGTCGGTGGTACCACGCACCTCAACGACCGCCTGTCGAACACCAGCATGGCCGGGCAGCGCTGCAACCGCGGGTAACCACCCTGGCACTGCCAGTAACGGTTGCACGACTTGCCCAGAGGCACGTTGCCGTTCGCGTCATCGTTGCAAAGTGCTGCAAACAGGTTGCGTCTTATTCCTAATAACTGGGGCGAACTGACTAGAGCTCCTGATAGTTCCTTTCGAGGAACTATTATAGTTAATGACGATCGAAACACGCAAAATCGTGTAGTTCATATGCATATATGTAAATATACCAATCATTATCTATAATTTTGATAATATTTTGTTAAACGGTTCAAAGTAAAATATTTTATTAAAATAAAAATAATGAATACAGTTTTGCAAATTGGTTGATCGTTTTTAATGAATTTCTTGTTGCAAAATGACAATATCGACTCAGTGAAAGTCGAAAACTTCCGTTCGAGATCTACCAATGATAAATTAATTTGAAGTTTAATTACGCAGTGAATACATTCGTGAATGTCTTTTATTTCCTTCTTTCACTTTGCACATGTATGAGGTTATTGGCGTGATTTTCGAGAATTTTCTAAAAATTCAATCATTTATCAAATTTTTGATAAAATAATTTACTAATCACTAATTATTTAGTGATAAATTATTATTTACGTTAATTTGTCAATCATTAATAAATCTCATCAATATTTAAACCGAATATTTTTATGTGTAGAAATATTTTAAAATGTTGTAAGAAATATATTTATTTCAATCTTATAATATCTTTCATTATTTCCAACCTTGTCAAAAAGAAATACGATCTCGCGTACGATCGTATAAACGATCGATGCATCAGGCTAGTGTTTGACATTCAGAGAGAGGCGATGCGAATTAATAATAAACGTGTTTTATCCTATCCCGAGGGCGAAGAAGGGGAGAAAGGCGCGACAAGAATTCACTTCGAATGCTAATTAAGTGCCTCGCCCATTTTTCCTTGGGCACTAACTCCTGGAAGAAGTAGGCACGAGGAAACGCATCGCGTTCATCTCGTCCGCCCACTTTCGAAAGTGAAAATAATCGTTAAAATTCCGCTTCTTGTGCGAATTAAGTCCGCCTAAAACCGCATCTTAAAGATGTATCCGTTGAATTTAGCCGAATGCCAATTAATTCCCAAGATAAACGTTATTGCGAAGATAAATAAGAAAGCGAAAAGATCCAACTGTGGGTTTAAAGTAGTCGATAAGAATGGAATGCTATTTGCAGAACATCCTTATTCCTCAAGATACTTATTTTTTTGATAAAACAGTATGTGATCATTAATGAATTTTTATGTAAAACAATAATATTCTATTTTAACTTTTTCCATGAATTATTTCAAGTTCTAATATATAAATTCTAATATCTAAACTTTCTGATAAAATTCCCTGACTGTCTCTCGACCTATCGATCATCATAGATACTTACGATGCTTCTGGCATCCCTCGACGTTCTCGGGCCAGTCGCAGGATCTAGCCCGTTCATTATAGAGCAGACCACCTATACAGAGCTGCTCGGTGGCGGTGCCGTTCCAGCAAGTCCAGTACCTGGTGCAGGAAGTTTCGTGACCAAAGATTCCATATAACCAGTCGCAGTGCTCGGTCGGGATTGGCGGATTTGCCTGGCGTTTGCTGTCACAATAGTTCGCACGCCATGGATAATCGCAGCCCTCGGTGACACCGCGATGCTTGCCGGCGAACACGAGACCATTCGGACAGTCGAACAGCTCTGGGCGACCGTTCACGCATTCCCAATAGCGATCGCAGTACTCAGCATCGCCTACCACTCGCGATTTTGTCTGGCACGGGTCCTCCTGTTGTTGCTTTTGGCCCAGCGAGCCTGTAAGCATGAAAGCGTAAATGCTTGTCTTGCTAATTAAGTTATCTTTCATACTCCTTAAGATGAGATCTATTCAAGTCGTTGGGATCACAGTAAGAGAAATCATTTAAGAAGATTAGGCAGCTTAGTCCTTTGATGTGGAATTTAGGAGAGTACTTATATTTCCTCATTCATGATTAATTTATGATTAAAGATGATAATCTTCTTCTCTTCCTGGTTTTCTTCTGCCTTTATTCCTTACTTTCTCGATGTTAATCGAGCCACGTAAATTATTTGGATACTTAATTTGAGTTCTCAAATTTATCCACCAATTTATCGTGTCATTAACCTTTCTCGATAAATGCTAATTATCCTTTCCTTTCCCTTTCATTCTCGTCTAATGAACCGCGATTACGAAATATCAGAGTACATATGTATATAGCGTATCTAAATCACGAATTCCACCTGCACATGTCCTCCACGAAGGACATTGAACGCCTCGCGAATATTAACAATTGCCAGCATATGTATTTACTAACAATAGTAATTTCGAAATCATTTAGCGTAGCAATAAAACTTGTGTTAATTCGGAAATTACGATGCCATTGTTATATGAGCGGAATTAATATATTGCTCAAGAATATCACTCTATTGATTAATGCATGAAATGCCTAGAATGCATATCCTTCTTCCGCGTTATAGAAAAATATTCTATGGCAGGATGACATCACAAAGTTCTTTCACCAAGTCAAGCAATTCTTTGCATAAGGATATTCACGTTGAAAATAAGAAGTTAAGACTAGCTAATAATATCTTTTTTTTTTTATTTTCATTCAGAATATTCCTATTATAGAGATATAAAAAGAGATATTTTGTTCTTACGGAGTTTATATAGGAATAGTTTACAACTTTTTCTAGACGCCTTAAGAGTATTCTTTGTGACTTAAAAATATCATCTTAAAATATTTAAACAAGTCACTTAGATTTATGGTCTCAAAATAGAAGAAAACTTCAGGGAATTCTATGATTTTTTTTTAATTTGTAATCCTAATTTAAATAAGGAATTAATTTTTTTTCATTTGAGGTTTGCGTCAGAGTTACATGCACAGATCGAAAGTATGCAACATAAACTGCTGGCGCCGTTTTACCACGATGTTCAATCGTTTCGCTAATGATTCAACAGAAAAGCAAATAGTAAAATAAGGTGGGAAGTCGGCACGAGGCACGCTCCCAAGACTACTCTCGAGTGAAAGTGCCTAGCCTTGACTTGCAACCTTCGGGGGCAATCCTGCTCCACACCCCTGCTCCACCTCTCTGGACCCTAAGCTCCCCTTTAATGCACGAAAGATTCGACCGACCAGTCGATTAACCTAATATTATTCTCGATTCCAGTTGGCGGAATATTCCCTTATATTTGCTAAAATTACATTATAAACTTTTCTCAGTTTTATCTTCTAGTTTATTTTTATTTTTATTGTAATCTTATTTTTTTTTTACATATGGTTTAATATATAACTTATTTTTAATATTAACTTTCTTAAGAAATTAATATGTATGTGTTGTGTTATCAAGAATCCATAGCAATATAAATTTATTTTAGTTTGAAAGAGAAGTTTCCTGTTATAGATTCCATTTACATATCTTATTTTATGAAACAAAAAAAAACGTGAATTGACATGTAATCATTCGTCAATAATTTCGATTTTATTTTTCCTTTCTTCTTCATATTCTCTCTCTCTCTCTCTCTCTCTCTCTCTCTCTCTCTCTCTCTCTCTCTTCTCTTTTTTTTTTT